GGGGGGGGGGAGAGCAGAGACTTGCCAGCCACTTTATGAACACAGGGAATCCTTTGTCCGCTGTTGTGCTGGGTTAGTGTGAGATAAAACTTCTAAGGTTAAAGTCTCTATTCCTCCTTTTGAGAGTACTAATTTATTTACTTTAGGGGTTGTTTTGTTTCTGTTTTGAAATAGGATAAGATCTCTTCTTATGCGCAAAAATTCATAATATTACATTCTACTCAGAAAGAAAAATATGGGAAATAAATCTTTTAAACCCTCCCAAGTTTTTTCTCTCAGAAGGGCCCGAGCTGCTGAAATGCCCTTGGGCAGGAAGTGGCGAGGACGGGGTACCACTCCTGCTCTGTAAAAATAAAGGTACTTTCACCATAAGGCCCCCTAAGGCCAGGGAATTACAAAATTTAACAAAAAAATGCCTTGGGAAATAGTAATTGGCTTCAAAAATCTCATAAAGTTGTTAAGGCATAATTAATAGATACTAACTAAAATGAAGGGGTTTTGATAAAGTTTTTCATATATATATATATATATATGAACAGTTTCCCCAAGTCTTTAGTAACTTAAACTACAGAGTGTTGCTGGGTTAAATAATAAAAATTATTAAATATCTAAGTATTTTGAAATAACAGGATACTGAAATATTAATCTGAGTTTGCCTACTTTGGTTTCTTATTATAGGGAATATAGAGGATGGATTTAAATCTGTTAATGAATATGTCTTGTATTTTATTTAAAATGTATCTCTTAAAATGTATTGCTAATCTGAGGAATACTAATTATTTACCTGTCACTTAAAAATTAAGGTTCCTAAGAGTTAAGAATTCTAACTAGTTGGAAAGAAATGGTATGGTTTTGGTAAAAGAAGGCATGAGGTATGGAAAGACATTTTGAAGGGATAAAAGAGAGTTCTAAAGCTGGTTATTTCTGAATGGGTAAGAAAGTTTGTGAAAGTTGTAAAAAGGATTGTAAAATGTTGTGAAGGTTTAAAAGTTGGTGAAAATTAACCTTTGTGAGGGAAAAATACTGCCTTAGGGCATGACTACCCACCGTAGACTGTTTTTAGTGTAAAAGTTTTAATTTCCGGCCATCTTTTATGCTTACTTTTGGGTCTCTGAGTTTGCAAGATGCCATGCAGGCCTGCCCTGCGCTTGTCGGGTTTAGCATGTGGCCCCTTTTTGTCCACAGAGATTAAGGACTCCAGAGGAAAACAGATACCACACACTAGAAACAAACTGTGAGAACTCATGGGTATCATGAAGACTGTCAAAGGCCACAGACTCGAATTTTCATCCAAATTATTTGAGGAGTAGGCAGCCAGCACAGCTATTCTAATTTCACTTCCTCCATTTCATTACCTAGATCACTTCCTAGTGAGTTCTCTAAGACACAAATCTATGCATGCCATACCTGTGATCAAAACTCTTCAAAAATTTCCCGTTGCCTATTGGATTAAAAGAAAGAAGAAGCCCAGCCAGGCATGGCTTAACAGTTGAGCATCAACCTAGGATCCAGGAGATCTCAGTTTGATTCCCGGTCAGGGCGCATGCCCGGGTTGTGGGCTCCATCCCCAGCAGGGGGATTGTAGGAGGCAGCCGATCAGTGAAGACTCTGTCATCATTGATGTTTCTATCTCTCCCTCTCCCTCTCCCTTCCTCTCTCTGAAATCAATAAAGATATATTTAAAAAAAATAAATAAAAGGAAGAAGAAGAAAAAAAAACCCAAAAAACTCTACCAGGCATTTAAGGTCTTTACTACCTTGCAAAGTGCCTGGTAAGCAGTAGGTGCTCTAAATGGGGAGCATGAATGAGCAGGGCTGGCTCCATCATTACTATTAGGTCTCAACTCAAAAGTCACAGAACTTGTAAGTCTCCCCCTGGCTATCTACTAAAAAGCCAACAAACTTGCTCTCCCAAATTTTCATAGCCCCCTTCTGTGCTTATTTTCCTCCTTGATTCTTACCAATATTTAACATACTACATATTATATATTTTACTTTAACTTATTGTCTCTCTCAGTAGCCATATAAATACATAAAATATCAACTATAAATACAAAGTCTATGAATACAGGGACTTCAAACTTTTTAATTTGTCTACTACTCTATCTCCAGTACCTAGAACAGGAAATGACATATAGCAAGTGCCTAGTAAAGTAAATGTAGGGTGGCTGGATGGGGAGATGGATCATTTCATTAGAGCCTCCACTCAAAGACCATCTCTACCTGAAGCTCCCAGGCAGATTTAGAGTCCCCATTCCCACACCTGCCCCATACACATCTTCTCTTAGTATATTGCACTTCTTTTGCCCGCATGTTCTGAGCTGAAAACTACATTGAAGTCAAGGGCCTCACTGTTTCATCTTTATACACCTAGAAGTGAATCCCTTGTGCTTAATACATGATATATCATTAAATAAATGAATGATTAATTATATTCCCCATTTTACGGATAGCAAAACAGAGGTTCAGAAAGGTTAATATCTTTTAAGGACACACACTAACAAGTTGCAGAGATAAGATACTAATTCGTATGTATGCCATGACTCCTTTACTTTTCCTTGCCAGCACTACCATCTCTCCCTGTGATGTTCAGTCCACAGTACTCTATTTATCCATATTATACCCTTTACTAAGTTCCTGTTCAAATCTCACCTAACAAAAACTTCCTGATCACTCTTATTCATGGTAATTTCTCCCCCTTTTTCCAGAAGCCTGAGATAGCTGTCAAAGTAAGTGGAGAAGGTTATGAGGTAGGGTGTGGCCTTGGAAACTAGCTAATCCATGTAACATTGCTGGTCCACACCCCATATTCAGGTTCTTGGTACAAAGGCCTATTTATTTTGCAGGTAATGTACCCTGTATTAGTCCCCCCTCCCCCACATCAGGTAACAAACAGCCTCTCATGTCTGCATATCTCTCCTAAAAATTTATGTGGCTGGTGATGGTTGCAATTGTTTGCATGGTCTGGCTGAGCTGAGCTCCCAGGAGAAGCTGCAGAAGAGAGCAAGTTTCCAAAGGTTAGCAGAACAAACAGAATCCCACCCTGGGATTAGCACTCAGGGCACACCTAAGCCTTTCCCCTTTTCTCTCCATCTTTGCTTCTGTTGGAAGTTGGGGCTTCAACCTTTCCTAAACACGACTCCTCCAAGGTTGCTACATTAGAGGAAAAGCTCATTTTCTATTAGCCATTTCCATGTAACCACATCAACAATATAGACTTACTTCTCATTGGCCCAACATACTCCTTTTTAACATTACAAATAACAACTTTTGTTGTCAGTGGTCCTGTAAAAGCAATGCAAAAAATTACAGTAAAAAAAAGTCCTTGTTACTTGTTCTCATTTTCTCTTCTATCAGAGACAGTTACAATCAGAGCCTGCAAAAATCTACAATAAATTCTTTTCCAGTGCCTTTTATACTTAAAGTCTTCAGTAGATACGTAAGCATCATATTCAGTAATAATGTGCCACCCTAGCCTGTACTACACATTTAACCCTTAATTGTGTCTACATAAAATGCTGAAATAGCTATAATTTTGCAAGCAGTTGTGAATTAAAAGTGCAGGTCTGGTGTTAGACTTCGTGTATTCAACTCCCACCTCCACCTGTGATGTTAAGCTCCTTAACGTCTGGGTCTTATTTCCTCATTTTTTTTTTTTTTTAATATATCTTTATTGATTTCACGGAGAGGAAAGGAGAGGGAGAGAGAGAGACAGAACATCAATGATGAGAGAGGCGTTGATCGAGCCCGCAACCCGGGCATGTGCCCTGACCGGGCATCGAACCCCGATCGCCCGGATCCTAGGTCCACGCTCAGCCCGAGCGACGCCCGGCCGGGCAATTTCCTCATTTTAAAATAGGATCCTATCGCTCCATAAAGTTCTATGTAACATAAAAACAGTAATTAATAAATGGGAACAACTATTTGAGGCTTACTGCGCACTTAGGCATTCTGTTGAGCACTTTGCATTCGTCTGATTGTCAGAGCCATCTGAAGGAACTAAGACGCTAGGCGCAGAAATGGGTACCCTGCAGAAAGCCAAAATAGGGACCTGGACCGGCTGGGGCGCAGAGGGGCCCACGGGGGCGCAGCTGGCGGGCCAGAGGCACAGCCGGGAAGGCGCCCAGTCCCGTCTGGCCACAAAGCCCGCCGCGCCCCCGCCAGGTGACAGCGCGCGGAGCGCCGAGGGCACCTGGCGTGGGTGGCTCGCTGGCCTCCCGCGCTGGGGAGAGAGGGGAGCCCCGAGGGCTTTCCAGGTGGGCGAGCCAGTTTCCAGCCGGGCCTTGAGCCCCAAGGTCAGGGCCACAAGGTTCCCCCAGCCGACGCTTAT